TTATTATATTTGAAATATTAAAATCGATGGATCAAAGAACTACTGATGCAACGCTTGATGGAGTTAAATTTCATTAACAATTTGTTGTCCAAGTCCCAAAAAAATATTTGCAGGCGCTATAAAACTTTCCTTAAAGTCACGTCGCGCACAATTGTTTGTGTTTAACTGTATATTTTTTAGAGATGGCAGTTAGAGATACTTTATTAATGGGGCTAAATGGGACAATTGTTCAGCAACATCTTTCTGTGAGAAAGCTGTGAAAAGTATACAAAAAAGGAGTCCCTGCACAAACTTTGAAGTAATTACTTGATTTGTCAAATCAAAACAATTAGTTCGCCATAGAAAGAAACAATCCATGCAAGAATATGTTAAAAGTATAAAAAAGACAAAAGAAGTACAAATTTCCGATTTTGCAAATTTTTTCTTTCAAAAACAAAACGATTTATGTGTGGGTACATAAGCAGCTTGATTTCTTCAAATGGCATATTTTGTGACATATCATAAAGACGATATATGCCAGAGCCGCACTCGAATCCTGCCGTCGTTTTTCCTTATAATTTGACATTAATATGCGTAGCCGCATATTAAAAAATTTACGTGTTCTTTTCTGAAGAGCCAGCCGATTACTATGAGACTGTTTTTGTTAAAAGAAAGTTGCTTTCACTCGAATCGTTCGTATTCAAACGTATTCGTTTTAATTTGGGCTTTTAAAAAAAATTTGGAAGCACACGACCATTTCCGAAAAGCTTTGATAAGTCAGAATTAACCATTATTTTGTTAAATTTTTGATTTAATTTCATTAAAGCCCGTATTTATGTTTTCATTATAGTCCGGTTTGTTATCCCTTACTTTAGAAAAAGTTAAGGATAACGTTCACATTATCGGGTTTTCGTTACTACATCTTTCCTTTAAATAAAAGTATTTTTTTATAGATATGACAAGCATTTTGTAAATGTAATTGGTAGTCACTTCATTTTTTCCACATTGGCATCTTCATTATACCCTACAACAATATGTGTTGGGGGTATTATAAGTTTGATTGGGCCAAAAATTATGTAACACCACGAAATATTGGTTTCCCATATAGGAAAGTATATATGGATCATCCTAGCTCGCCGAGCTGAGTCGATCTAGCTATGTATGTCCGTCCGTCCGTCTCGTCTGTCCGTCTGTCCATGTTAATTTGTAATCACTCTACAGGTCGCAATTATGGCCCGATCTTCACGAAATTTGGAATGGAGGTCGGGGTTGGGCCAGAATAGAACCCTATTTCTTTTTGAGATGATCGCCAAATGTTTAGGGGTTGAAATGGACCAAATACTGAAAAAATGTCGGATTTTGCAGAAGCTATACAGGTCGCAATTATAGACCAATCGACGCGGAATTTCGCATGTAGCTAGAGTTTAGGACGGGGAAGAAGCCTACCAATTTGGGTGGTCATATTTTGTGTTGAAAAAATTCAAAATTTTTCATTAAACCGCGAATATTTTAAATCCCGGCGAAATCACAAAGCCATGACAAGGTTACTTCTGAGCTTTACATTGATGTTAACATCCAACAAATCGGATATATAGCAAAATATGTGCGATACATATGTCTATCAAAGAAGATATGCTTGGAAAATCTCTTATATGTCGAGAACGGCTGAACTGATTTCGACAGTTCTCATTAATTCAGAATGGCCTCTTGGCTGGAAAGAAAAAACGTCTAAAAAAATCGCATAAAAATATCTCTCTAAAGATGAAAATATTGATTTTCTAAAATTTTCTCATATTTTTTCAATTTTGTCATATTTTTGGCATATTTTCATTTTGAATTAAACATTTGGTAATATTTCTACAGCTAACAAAACTAAGTAGTTATGACATCAGAATATCATATACAGATCGCATTTATGGCCCGATCCTTACGAAATTTTGCATGGGGATAAGATGAGGGTCAGAATAGAAGCCTACTCTTTTTGGAGATGATCGCCATATATTTGAAATGGACCAAAAAACTGCAAAATTGTCGGCAGGTCGTAATTATCGCCCGATCATCACGCACATTTGAAAGGTGGTTACCGGACATTGCAAAAGCCAAGCAGTTTTGGATGGCCATCCAAAAATATTCAATGTGTGAAATAGTTTGCCAACTTTTGTAGACGAAATACGAAAATGTCGATTCCAGTGATTTTTTGGAGAATTCACAAATACAGGAAAGACGCACTTCTGAGTATTTCGTTAACGCTGATTTCGTTGAAGAATATAGTCAAATGTCTGTATCTCATATAGATGCGTTTCAGTCAAAAACCAATAATAAATGTTAATCTTTTGCCACTTCTAGGAGATTATAGGTCTTTGAGAAATATTGGTTCCAGATCTAGGAAGACCATTTAAGTGCAACATCTACCAATAAATTGGAAATGAGCAAATTAGTTTAAGTTGCTACTATTCGAAAATTAGAGAACGAAACCTGATGGTTTTCTTTTATAATTTGTCACAATATCTTGTGGAATTCTTTCGAGTATCTCGCCTATATAAACTGTATCGTTTATTATAGTGTTGTAGGGTATTCAACGGTCGGCCCCGCTCGACTGTAGCCTTTGCTTACTTGTTATAGTTTAAAAATAATAAGCAAAGCGAATTTGTAATTAATTTCGTAAAACTTTACGAAATTAAAAAGGAAACCCTTTGCTTCTCTGACAGTTCGTATTTAAATGAAACTTGTAATAACGAAAAACTATTTTTTTGTCCGACAACCGGAGAATATGGACCGCATACAATTTTGGCGTAATTGTGTTGCAAACGGTCAATTTCTGTTCAAAACTATAGTTGTTTTCCTATCGTTTTTTTCTCGCCTTCTCTCTTGTATTTGTTTGTTACACACATACAAAGAATTTGCTTCAAAACCCAATTGTTTTCAGCCGATAAATTTTGCGAACGATTGGAAAAAATAAAGTTCCAAAACAAGCTGTTAAACCAATAAAAAGCCTTAGTTGTATGTGCACCTTAAAAACTCTACCTAAAATGCGACATAACGTATTTTACAAATTTACCGAAATACTTCCAGCGTACGAAATTTGAAAATTAAAAATTTTCAGCATTGACAGCACTTTATATTTAATATATTTTTTAATATTTTTGTGTGTAGAATATGGTTTGCAATTGGGAAATATTACAATTGGGTGAATTTAATAAAAAGAATGAATTTTTACAACGCTTTTATTTGGTAGTTTTTAAGATGTAGACCTGGCGGATGTGGGTAATACGGACTTACAAAACATTTGACCATGGTGTGGAAGTTGAATATCTAATTACGCTATGTCGAATTTTAGTTAACGCTGTAAAATTATAATTTGAGAGTTTCCCCTTTTAATTTGATTCTCCCCTTAAATCGGAAAGAGTGTTGCATTGCACTCGTATGGCTTATTAAATAAAAAGAATAGTTTACACACCATGTAACTGTTCCATGTAAAAGTTACACCAAGAAATAGGCTATAAAAATACTAAATGTGAAAAGTTGACTTTATTTTACAATTTTATACATAATGTTACTCATTATTCAATTAATATAAGTTTCATCATTCAATTGATATAAAAGATATGTACCAAATGAATCGAAGCTTACTTCCACTATGAGCCTTAGTCTAAAGACCCCAAAAAGGTCATGGATGTAAAAGCCGGCAACCCTGTCACCATATTACACGAGTTGAAGCAAAAAGTCGATTTGTATTGAAATTCAATTTGCGTGTACATGTGTAATGTTTGTTGTTTCTTTTGAAATTGAAATAACCAATGTTATTGTCGTGTCTTTGGGGGTTGCGATTGGGTGTAAGATGGATAGCCGTATTTGTGATATTTTTGGCGCTTCAATATGGAGTAACCGTGAAACGGAATGGAAACGGAAACAAAGTTACTTTTAATTGCAAATGTACGATTTTAATAACTTCTTGTAGTGTTTGTTGTTTTCGCCGTTTCTTTGAAAAGTAAAATGGAAATTTAAATCAATGATGCTCCTTTAGAGATTTTTGAATTAAACGACATAGTTAGATATCTTTGAAAATAACTTAAAGTTTGGGTAATATGACGGCATCTGGTATAGTTTAGACTTGAAGATAATACGAAGAAATCGTTTTTCCATAATCGAGATTAAAATATAAATAATAAAAACATCCTAAATATATATACAGTATTTTTTGCTCACCGGCACAATCAAAAATTGCACGACATCTTGTGCAGCAATGCCCAAAATGCAGGTAGCTTCATTGCATTTATCTGCACAATGAAGCAGGTATCTTTAATTTTACTTACGTGCACAAAAAGTGCAGTTATCTTTAATTTTCTATTCGTGCACAACAAAGCAGCAGAAGCATAACCATCTTTTAGTGTGGGAGAGGAAGCGAGAATATGTTTTTTAATGCATGCTCTTTTCTTGTGTTGTTATTGTTTTTGCGAATACAAAAACGAAGAGGTAGTTTTTAGTGTCTTTTTTGAGTTTGCAAAAAATTTTCTTGTGCAGATAAATACAACTTTTGTAACCAAATTAAAAAAAAAAATTACCAAATTTTCGAGGCAGGAATGTCCAATGTGCAGCTATCGATTGGGCACTTAAATACAATTCAAATAAAGGGATTCAGAAAAAAAATGGCATAAAAAAAGGTTTTTGGTCTGCAAAGGCCAATGCGCAGCTAATGTTGATGCAGGTAAATAGAAACCACTGTATACATAGGTTCACATTTTCCTACACATGGTATCTCCCCATATTCGGTATTGTCTATATAGTTCATATTTCTAATGTCTACCTTATTAAATCCAGTGCATACCATGACATTGGGGGATACAAGAATTATAGTTATATCGAAACCGATTTCCACCAAAATAAGCTTCAGCGATGTTTTCTATGTATAGTCTCAAGTTTTTAATCTACTATCAATCGAAAAACATAAACGTACATAATAAATGAAATATCTACTTGAAACGTAATACACATGGACACAAGTACATTTATATTCATCTTACCTGAAAATTTATTGTTGCTGTAACGGCTCTCATGGACTCTGCATAATTCCTCAGAATGTGTTCGTTGTGTAAACTGGTTTGGCGCCAGTCGTACAGGCTCTCAACTTTCTGGACACACCGTTCGCAAATGTTTTTTGGTAAAAAATCTTCTTTGGCGATCTAAAAATACGACATGGGATGGAATGTTGAATGCCACCAATGAGGTCAGAATAACAAACCGAACAAACAAGGAAAAAAACGTAAGTACGCGTGAACAACTGGGTAGGTATGTATTCATGTACATGACCCACAAGATATAAAAAAACCATGAATGCTTGGGGAATACTTACATTAACCGGCATTAGCAAACGTAATTTATAAACGAGATTCCTTTGTTCGGCTTCTTTGTCGAACAGGTGAATTTTGGCGGGTCCATTACGTAGCGAACATAGTCGACATAATTCGCCAAAGGTTTCAAAGTTCAGATTAGCATCGTAGCTCTGTGCGTTGATGGTGACGAATTGTTGTGATTGCTGCTGCTGTTGGTGATGAACTGGTTGCTGTTGTTGCTGATGATGATGTTGCTGCTGTTGTTGTGTATGATGTTGTTGCGGATGCTGCTGCTGTGTTTGCTGTTGTTGTTGTTGCTGTTGTTGATTACCGTTATTCAACATAACTATTTTGTTTTATATGTGTCTACAACTGTCCATCATTTAGTATTGTCATGGGTAGGTATAAAACTGATTTTTAAGGAAATCTTGTTCAAACTATTTTAAATCACAGTTCAGATTATTAGTTAGTTTCTCTTTCTCTCTCCTTTTTGAATACTGCTTCAAACTACATATTTTATATATATTTTATTAGTATATTTGATAATAAGGAGAAAGGGGAATAATTAGATGAAAGTAAAAGAGAACATTTTAAAAAATTCTTTGGTGTATGGGACTGGGACCTTTAAAGATCTCTTCATTCGTCATTAGAACTTAACGTACAATAAAAATTTCGCAGAGTCAGTCAGTTTAGTTGCAACACTCAAAGTTGGCATCTGTTACAAAATTCGTGATCGTACGTACACCCCATTATATGGAATCATAACAAACATCCTGCTTTCTTACAGACTCTGCTGGTCGGTCTGGTAACAAATACAGACGGTTTTAAGAAGACACGAGAATTGAAGTTTTCTTATAAGCTGGATGACAATTGTCGGTACTGATATCGTTGAACCGGCGGCCACGCTGATAGAAAGTATAAAATCAAATCGAACTAGAAAACCACAGGCTTAATATGCAAAACTTAGTTGGATAAACATATATGTGCGAAAAGTTTGTACTATGTACCACAGAAAAAATAAGAAAGTTATTTTGCATATTGTGCATATTTATTTCAGGACTACAGCCATGACCTATCATGTTTATGACAGTCTATTCATCCGGAACAATACTAAGATCGCCGTAAGGAGAAGTATTGCTAGTGATTGCAAGATCTAATTTATCCGTCAAGAATTTACAAACTCTCAGTAATAGATCTGTCAAAATCGCCCTTTAGAACCGCTCTATTTTGCAAAATGTTTGTGTTAACAGATAACTTCCAGTAACAATTTACAAAAGTTGTTACAAATTTCAGAATAACCAGACACACTTTATATACAAAGTAATTTTGATAATATTTAAATTCCATAGCATGGTATAATTATTGCAGGTAACAGCAAGTCCCAGATGATTTGACTCTATAGTAATACTAGTGTCAAACTCGATATGACGTTTTGTGATTTAATTGCATTTCTTGATATACAATAGGTATACCCTTTTTTTAATATAAAATTTCTCTGCAGGGCAATGAGAACATTTTTTTTCTAATAATAGAAAATGTCGCCGTCGTACTTAACCAAACGCCAAAGTTGATGGTTCGGAAACTTGTTTTGCGGTTAAGGAACAACAACACCGTGTTAGATAATATATTTGTATATTTCATGTTTCTTAAAATTGCAAAATGTAGAATATTTATGTATGTATGCTGTTTGTTTTCATCTTGAAAGTTATGTTGCCTTTTTTTCGATTTTCTAGCGGTTGTTGAAGTGTTGAGAGATTAGGACCAACAGCTAACAACTATACATTCAGGGGAATTATGTGAAAACATTAAAATTAAATATTTAAGAACTATTCTCCTGCATTTTCAATTTAATAATCCAAATTCCAAAAATGTATATTTTCGAAATTAAAATAATTTATTGAAAATTAATTATTTTGTTTATATTTTTGGACACATAACTCTGACACTTGTATTACGCACAAAAACAAATTTGTATGTGGTTGTTGTTACGATTGTTGTACAACAATACTTGATGTTACCTGTATTATTCTACCATGATTCCATAGAAATTTAAATTTATATTTACAGTACTTGGGAAGAATACATTTTTGTATTTTGGGATGGAAAAAGAGTTGTTAAATGTTTTGCTATTTTCTCTTAATCAAATATTGTGAAGAAAGTAGCAAATATACAAAATCATTTCCTACTTTTGTTGTTAGTAAATTTAAAGTTAGAGTTCAGAGTTGTGCTTTTCAAATGTAATCATCCTTTCCATTACACAATTGCATCATGTGGAAACCCTAAATTTTTTTTACTGTTTCCTAATATTTTCCTTTAAATGACTATTGTCTATAGAAAATCTCCAAGTGGATACCTCAAACTTATCTAGGCCTTTAACGAGGAAATTCCCATAGGTGTTACCTATAAACATATACCTCTCTAGATGGCCACATTACTACATTTGGTAGCTCACAGTCCAATGAAAAATATGTTCTGCTCATTTCGATATGAATAGGAGCAAAACAATTTTATTCGTCAGCAAATCTCTATCCAACAGTTCGTTCACATTGCAGTTCACTCTTGGGTTCGATTTAAATTGCAATGAGCAAAAAGTATAAAATAGTGCCAGCACGTTTTCTCAAATAATTTTAAGTGGGGGTAGTCGTTTTATTAGAGTGAGACAAAACATAAACATGCAGTTTACTGCGGAGGAATGAGAGAGATGTTTATGTGAAATTGTTGTTTACATGATGCAAAGAGAACAGAATAAATGAATGGTAATGTTGCCAGATATTGCTGAAACATTTCCAATTATTTTTGGACTAAGAGTTTAAAAAACAATATAAAGTTTGTGTGGGTACTTTCTAGAAATATTTAACCAGTACATTTTTTCGAGAGGAAAAATCACTTTTTACTCGTTGTATTGTAAAAGTAGCAAGTATCAAAATATTGTAAAAAGTAGCAAGTAAAAAACATTAAATTCTGTGGGGCCGCCATTACCAAAAAAATATTTGTATTTAAAAGCAGCATTCAAACGAGTACCGCTATAAACTGCAAATACCAGTAAGATAGGATGGAGAATGTAAAGCTTTCAAATAACTATAAAGTTGGTGGAGCCGTTTTATGGGGGCCTTATCCACACGGAAAATTGACAAATTTGAAACAGTTCCATGGGAAAGTGTGAATGGGATCATCAAAATACCAAATATCGGTGGATACCGTTACAGGAAAAGGTGGACCAATATACACTATGTTCTGTATATCCGTGGGAAATGTCACTAAAACCATCATAATACCGAACATCAGGAGGTACAGTTATATACAGTGAATATTTGCGATTGAAAAAAAAAAATACAATGTGGTGAATTTAATAAAGTATCAATTTTTAAAACGTTTTTATTTGGTAGATTTTAAAAAAGGGACCTGTCCTATTTGGGTAATACTGGCGTACAAAACATTTCACCATAGTGGGGAACTTGAATGTTTGTGAAAGCTATGTCGAATTTTAAGTAAAACTGTTATAATAAAAATGTCAAAAAATAACATTTTTGTAACTAAAATAACATATAACTTTGACACTAGTATTACGTACAAAAACAAATTTGTATGTGGTTGTTGTTACGTTTGTTGTATAACAATACTTGCTGTTATCTGTGTAACTATACCATGGGTGGAGGGTATAAAATGCAGGAATCCGTTAAAAAAGTATTTTTTAAGGGACATTGAAATACAAAATATTTATTTTTTTTTTTATACCCTCCACCATGGGTAGGAGGGTATATTAACTTTGTAATTCCGTTTGTAACACCTCTAAATATTCGTCGTAGACCCCATAAAGTATATATATTCATAATCAGCATAAAATTCTAAGACGATTTAGCGATGTCCGTCTGTCTGTCTGTCTGTCTGTCTGTTGAAATCACGATAGAGCCCACATTATTTGACGTAGACCTTTGAAATTTGGCACAAGTGTGTGTATTGTCCCTAGGATGGTTGGTATTGAAAATGAGATATATCGGTCCACGTTCTGGTATAGTCCCCATATAACGGTACCTCCCGATATTCGGTATTTTGATGATTTATGCCACATTTTTTTACGGATTTATCTGAAAATTGGTATTTGTAGGTCATGACGGGTCCCTGAGCGTGTGGCAAAACATTGCATGTATAGGTCCACGTTTTGGTATAGCCCCCATATAACGGTACCTCCCGATATTCGGTATTTTGATGATTTATGCCACATTTTTTTACGGATTTATCTGAAAATTGGTATTTGTAGGTCATGACGGGTCCCTGAGCGTGTGGCAAAACATTGCATGTATAGGTCCACGTTTTGGTATAGCCCCCATATAACGGTACCTACCGATATTCGGTATTTTGATGATTTATGCCACATTTTTTCACGGATTTGTCTGAAAATTGGTATTTGTAGGTCACAACGGGTCCCTGAGCGTGTGGCAAAACATTGCATGTATAGGTCCACGTTCTGGTATAGTCCCCATATAACGGTACCTCCCGATATTCGGTATTTTTATGATTTATGCCACATTTTTTCACTGATTTGTGTAAAAGTTGGTATTTGTGGGTCATAATGGGTCCTAGTTCGTGTGGCGAAACATTGTAATTATAGGTGCACGTGTTGGTGTAGCCCCTATATAACGGTACCTCCCGATATTCGGAATTTTAATGTTTTTTGCCACATTTCTTCTAATGTTCTTTTACCCTAGGGTGGAGGGTATTAAAAGTTTGGCCCGGCCGAACTTAATGTTTTTTTACTTGTTTTTTTTTGTTTTGAAAAGACTCCCTGTTTGAACTTACAAAACTTTATTGAACAAATGTGTCCAGTAACATTTGGTAAGTTCTCTATAAATATGTTGACAGAAAAATGTCTCAATTCATTCTCATTTACTGTACTTTTGTGTAAACAGACAACATCCAGTAAAATTTCACAAATTATTACAAAATATCAAGTACGCAGACCCACATAATATGTACCTAATGTATACAAAATTATACCTTTTTATTCACTACAAACCATCAGTCAACTTCTTCGGCTTCCTCTTCTACAATGGACTAACTCTTTCCTCTGTTTTAAATTTCAGGCATCGTATTATATATATCAACCGTACATCAATTTGAAGATTGGTGACCACGGTCCAGCCTTTCTGCTTAGCCGATTTAAAACGTATGTGGATATCTATTGATAATAACGTTACACTTATCAAATACAATTTTATAGACGAGTAAAACATCAAGTTGCTTTTAACCATGGTACAATAAGGAGGTAGAACAGCTTCGTAAAATTGCAGAAATACAGTCCTGAGGTTATGTCCGCTTCTTGTCAGAATTATTCAAAATTACATGCAACAAGCTGTTTTCATTTATTTGTTATTTTTTGTTCATTTCTAAAATGAGTCAAATAGTGCGAAAGATAAATTAAATTCCTGGTCTCAGCTGATTTGAATCTATAGTAATACCAGTGTCAAACTCGATATGACGTTTTGTGATTTAATTCCATTTCTTGAAATACAATAGGTATACCTTTTTTGATATAAAATTTCACTGCAGGACAATGTGAACATATGTTTTGCTAACAATAGAAAAAATTGCCGTTTTACTTAACAAAACGCCAAAGTCGATGGTTTGGAAACTTTTTTTGCGGTTAAGGAACAGCGCCACTATGTTAGATAATATATTCGTATATTTCATGTTTCTTGAAATTGCAAAATGTAGAATACTTTATGTATGTATGATGTTTGGGTTCAACTTGAAAGGGATGTTGCCTTTTCCACGATTTTCTAGCGATTCCTTGAATTGTTGAGAGATTAGGACCAACAGCTAACAACTATACATTCAGGGGAGTGATGTGAAAGCATTAAAATAAAATGTTTTAAGAGCTATTCTTCTGCATTTTCAATTTAATAATCCAAATTCCAAAAATGTATATTTTTGAAATTAAAAGAATTTATTGAAAATTAATTATTTTGTTTACATTTTTGGACACATAACTCTGACACTTGTTATTATTCTACTATGGTTTCTTCCAATCATTGATTTTCAAAACATTTTTTTTTTTTATTTTTCAAAACAGCAGTTACACAAAATTGGCAGATGTCGGGCACACTTAGAAAAAAATTGTAATCATCTTTGAGCTCTACCTTACCTTTTTATTGCACCATGCTTTTAACAAGGTATTCGATTTTTAAACTAACTCCTATTCCTGTTAAGCGATGGCTAAATTAATTTTTGTTATATTGGTATGTTATATTGGTATAATTCTGTTCATTAGTCTGGCAACACTGAAAAACTTAATCGAGAGATAGTAACTGTGTGGAGCATGTTTGGTGCTGGTAGCAAAAAATTACGTTTTCCGGAAAAGAAATGAAAAACAATTTTCGCGGAAAATGCACTAACTGACGAAATATGAGCAATAGTGAAATGCATTGTTCTCGTTTTTGGACAAACTGACCACCACCTCCACCCACTAACCTTGCGAAAAATCGATAATGCAGCCAATACCAACTATCCAAAAATATCAAAAGTTAGGAATAATAGATTAATTGAAAATTTGCAGTTAAAATATGATAATTACATTAAAAAGACCCCTACTTTTGAGAATAGTTAGGTGGTAGGTACCATTTTTTTGTTTCACTTCACTGGGGGTTTGCTTTAAGAACGCAGTTTATTCCTTTCAACGAATTCAAGATCATATTTTGATTTGGGTTTATTTTTTTTTTTCCTTTTTGTGGGTAGGTAGTTTTTTATTTGTCGAACTGAACTTGTTTTATATACTCCAAAGAACAAAATAAGAAATCAGGGTTTCTTTTTTTCTTTAAAACATTACATTTCATGCCATTTGCCTGCCATGTGTATCTAAATGGAGCGAGTGTGGCACATATATTTTTTTGTGGATGGTTATTGGTTGGGAGTACTCCGATTGAATTTTTACTGGGCTTTCATCACATCACTTAACCGACGGAATAAACGACTGAGTCGACGACAAAAGAACTCACAAATTACCGCTGTGACCCATGCAATGGGCAATGGGACAATTACTACTGAAGTGAGTTAGTTCATCGTTGTCGTTGTTGGCAATGCACTTTTTTCTCCATCGGGTGAGTAGTGTGTTCGGTGAAAGACCAACTAACCGTGTCAACAACACTTGAAATGCAACTTTTGCATGAATGTGGTCGGACAGTCGGTCGGTTTATTGCTTGTCAAAGCAATGTTGCACCAATTCTCTCATACTCTCGCTCTCTAATTTTTGTGTTGCAAAATCATACAAAGTTCTCTCAGAAAAAAATATCCGGAAAGTATGTTTGTATGTTTTGAGAGCATACACAAGTGTGAGGAACTTCTCTTGGACGAAACATTATATTTCGGTATTGGGCGCGATAGGCAATTCTGAGTGCATTATTAAATTATCAAATAATTCACACCACTTTCTTAAGAATTTGTGTCAATAAACAAATGCCAACAGGTTGCATATCCAGAATTAGGGTGTGACGAAGGATTAAACAGCCCAGCGAAAATATTTTCGAAATTTGGAGCGTCAAATGTTTTCATGTCTACCATAGCGCTTTCTTTTGATGAATTCATCGCTATATGGCAGAAAAATGTTTAAAACGCAACTTTTCCTCAATATAGCTTTTATTCACAAAGCTGCATTCTTGAAAACGGTAGATTTCAGCGTTCGTAACGGAGATAAATTTGCGGGTACTCATAAATTGGTGAAGAGGTTAGTGATCTGTACCACTAGGCGTTGAAGCCCAAGACCTGGCAATGGCCAATGATGCAGCGAGTTCAAGATTTGTCGTAGTTGTTTAGCATTACCTGCATTAAAAATAATCAACTATTCCATGACAAATATATTACAGTAAAGGCAGAGATGGATATTCATATTTGAAATGGCTTTACCTTCTTGATTTTACCATGCTATATTTCAGCAGCGATTGAAAATTCAAAGTAATGCTGAAGCCACCTTGGCTTTGTTTGAGTACCTTTAATTACAATATTGTTGAATAAGCATAGATACAGTGAATTGGGTGCCCACCCACAATTCGTAGACTTCCGCGAGTAAGCGAGTGACATTTGAAATAAAATATGTCCAATCGTTGCTGTCTCACCATCACCCTTACACAATATGCAGTATTGTCGGCAACATTGATTTCTTCTGGTCGAATTAGTGTTGATACCTAGAAATTTGGTTTCATTTTTTGCTAACTCGTCAGTTTTCTCATTTTCTCTAATAAGGCAGGGACCAGGAACCCAAAAGAACAATTTGCAGGTACTTCAGGTTCTATTTATACTTTAGAAGTACTTAAGATTTGTATCAAAGACTGTGAAAAACTGCAGTATCTTCCAAGCAGTGGTCTTCGGTAAGATCAAGTTGTAAGTTCTGCGTTCCAAAACAATCTAATATACTTTAGTTTCCCACGTATTCTAGATCTCCATGTTGCCCGTGCCTATTTTATGTTGTACACACTGTATAAAAAGATTAACTTAAAATCACGATTTACTATCAATTACGCTGGTAAATTTTGAAATTATAGAAACATTTTTCTTATGTGTGGATGTGAGGCGAATTCAAATTGATGCCAGGTGACCTGATGGGGTTACCTTCTTATTCTACCATGGACTGAAACCACTGAGTCATGGTAGAATTACAAGGTATCCCTTTTGCGCCAGCTGGTACAAATATGAAAAGTCAAAAAAAAAAATGTATTTTGAATTCGCCTTACAGATACATAATAGAAATTTAAACTTCAAACGGAAACAATAAATAAACTTTGAATTCCTTATCTTTTGATACGGCCAAAATTTGACGCATCGAGCAATGGTTTTGTACCCTAGGTCTCTTTGCACATAATACGTTTCAGACATTTGAAGTCGGTCTAGCGTCTGTTAATAGGCACTATAACTCTCGATCCAAGTTTGATGCATCGTAATACACCTATCAAACTAAGATCGAGATGGGAATCGGTCCTACCCCACAAAAAGTCAACACATTCAAAGAAAAAAAATGTTACCTTACATTTAATAGCTGCTTGACCATCCAATTCATATTAGCGAAGGCACTGCAATTTTACACAGTAGGCTCAGGCCCTGTACCTTATTCAATCTTTGATACTGAAGTGTAAATAGAACCTGAAGTCATTTTGTCACTTCAGGTTCTATTGAATGGAATATATAGAAATGCCATATTTTTACACATAACTAGAGTCCCCAATGAATTTTTATTCCAATTGCATTCCAATTATTTATATAAAAGATTAAAACCGCATAATGTAAATAAAGATTTCTAATTTCAGTTACTAACGTTTCAGTCACATTTTCAGCAGAATCATGCAAAATGTTTAACATTACCCGTGCTCTGATCTCAAAAAGCGTAAAAAGGCAGAATTACACCGATTTTCTCGATTAACTCTAAGTTGTTGGCTGACATATCTAGTTGGCACCAGCTGACCTGATAGAGTTACCTTGTAATCACTGAGTACAATAACACTTTTTTTTTCTAAAATTTAGCAAACTGTAATTTTGAAACCAAAAGCCCTTGTAAATTTTCACTTCGAAATGTTTCAAGACTCATTGCTTATTATAAAATCGGATTATATGGCAAAACGTAAACATTTACTAATATATTTGCTACAGAATGGATTTCAGGTTCAAGCACAACGCAAGGTGAAATTTACTCCCGAATTAGCGGCTGAGTTTTACCGGGACATTTCCGAAGAACCAGAATTTATGTTTCAAGTTATACTATTATCGAAAGGACCATCGGAGACATTAATACTGGCGAAGGAAAATGCTGTTGAAGATTTACTGAATTCTATGGTATGTTATTTGTAAGTATTTTTCGAGGAGGATGATGCTAATCTGATAAAAGAGGATATTAATCTGTTATTCCTTTCAGTGGTAATTCTGTGGAAATGGAGAAAAATGTCCACGTTACAAGATGCCTGGGAAAAGTACAAAAGGATATTGCTTTCATCTTCCCCAACTGTAAGCTTTTGATGTGGTTTGTTAACTATTAACGGACTAAATATATAAATATTCGCTTTTAGATATTTTTGAACCAATTACTCATCCTGATCACATGGAATTTTCAAAAGATAATTCAATTGTATCTTCTCTAATAAGTGGAGTCTATGACATTGCAACTCAACCAGCAACGGAACCACACAAAAATTGGAAAGAGAAATTAACCGACTGCCTTATTCTTTCAAATAAAAATTTACCCCGTGTATCCAACCAATGTTCTTGGAATCCTTCAGTAAATGTTCGTGAAATAAGCCAGCAAACAAAGATTACCACTTTAAAGCATAATAACAATGCCGCGCTAAACGATTCTAATTTCTCCATTGATTTCGATACAGATGGCATCTCTCTTAATATTACAACAACCTCATGTGTTTCCTGCTCCGATTTCAATAGTGGAGACGATTGCATACTACAGGGAAAATCCCTGATTTATATGACCAAAATGAAAACAGCTCCTTTGGAAGTCAGAAGTGCATCCACTTCAGAAATTGATATAGGAATTCTTTCTTCAACTAAAGAAGGAATTGAGAAAGGGTTAATTGTGGATATGGAAGAAGAGGAATTGAATGCAGAGATCGGTGACACTTTGTCGGCTGATACAGCGCAGAATCTATCAAAATCAGATGTAAGCCAATTTTATGCATCAAATGGACACGGTGCCGGTGATGGTAGTGTATTGGTTGACAACATATCATTGTTAGTAAGTGAAAATATGCAGGATACCCAATTAAAGAGCCTAAATGAGGCGGAAACATTGGAGAATGGAGAAGAATTGTCATCTCCAAAGGAAATTATCAACAATTTCGCAGTACCGTCAGATAATGTGACACACAATGTAGAGGTTATTAAATACGTACCTGAAATAAATAATGATGTACAGTTGGAAGAGCTGGCAAACAATACAACTACAGAACCAAATAATATCGAACATGATCCAGAAAATCGTTACCAGGACCGGTTAGAGGATACTGAAACATACACATAATTTGATAAATAAACATTAAATATTTTAAAATATTTGCGAAATCAGTAATCAGTAGAGCTATTCTGTTACTTTTATCGATTGAAAAATTTACATTTCTTTGATTATTGTAACATTTTGATCGATGGAAGTTACTGGATAGGCTTGCAGATATAGATATTACTCTAAGGGTGTTAGACATTGGCCCAAGTGTATATATATCCCTAATATTAAGTGGGTAAATCGCCAATAAAATACTCAAATATCTCGGCTTTAGTTAAAACTCCGGAATTACATAGAATCCCTCTACTCGCTTGCTTGAATTATAGTTGAGGGTGGGAGTACTACTGCTAGTAGGAAGTATCAATACTTTAAAATTTGTCCAACAGAAGTTGGCAAAACTACAAAATTCTTAAAAAAATCAAAATTTATTTTGCTAAATTGAAATAGAATGTAGTGAGCATGGGTGTTTTCTAATACACTTAGAAAAATTTCCATAATTTGTGGTATTCAGCTAGTTGAATTTCAAAATATTTAACTAAATTCAAAATTTACTTTGCTGAATTGAAATAGAAAGTAGTGAGCATGAGTGTTTCATAATACACTTAGAACGTTTTTCATAATTTGTGATATTCAGAAAACTGAATTCCAAAATATTTTAAGAAATTCAAAAATTACTTTGCTGAATTGTACAAGAATGTATTGAGTCTGAATGTTTTATAATACACTTAGAAAAATGCTCATAATATGTGGTACTCAGCTAGTTGAATTTCAAAATGTTTAAAGAAATTCAAAATTTACTTTGCTGATTTGCAATAGACTGTACTGAGTCTGAATGTTTTATAATACACTTAGAAAATTTTTCATAATTTGTGGTATTCAGCTAGCTAAATTCCAAAATGTTTAAAAAAGTTCAAAATTTACTTTCATGAACTGAAGTAGAATGTAGTGAGTATGAGTGTTTTATAATACACTTAGAAAAATGTTCATAATTTATGGTATTCAGCTACCTGAATTTTTAAAATTTTTTACATATTCAAAATTTACTTTGCTTAATTGAAATAGAATGTAGTGTGTGTATAATAATACACTCAGAAAAAATTTCATAATTTGTGGTATTCAGCTGGCGAAATTCCAAAATATTTTAAGCTTTTCAAAATTTACTTTGCTGAATTGAAATTGAAAGTAGTGAGCATGAGCGTTTATTAATACACTTAGAAAATTTTTCATAATTTGTGGTATTCAGCTAGCTGAATTCCAAAATATTTAAAGAAATTCAAAATTTACTTTGCTGAACTGCAATAGAATGTACAGAGTCTGAATGTTTTATAATACACTTAGAAAAATTTTCATAATTTGTGGTATTCAGCTAGCTGAATTCCAAAATGTTTAAAGAAATTCAAAATTTACTTTCCTGAATTGAAATAGAATTTAGTGAGCATGAGTGTTTTATAATACACTTAGAAAAAGTTTCATAATTTGTAATATTCAGCTAGCGGAATTCCAAATTTTATTTAAATATTCAAAGCTAGCGGAATTACAAAATATTTAACAAAATTCAAAATTTACTTTGCTGAATTGAAATAGAATGTAGTGACATTAGTGTTTTATAATACACTTAGAAAAATTTTCATAATTTGTGGTATTCAGCTAGCTGAGTTCCAAAATATTTAACAACATTCAAAATTTACTTTGCTGAATTGAAATAGAATGCAATGAGCTTGGGTGTTTTATAATACACTTAGAAAAATTTTCATAATTTGTGGTATTCAGCTAGCGGAATTCCAAATTTTTTTAAAATATTCAAAATTTACTTTGCTGAATTGAAATAGAATGTAGTGAGCATGAGTATTTTGTAATACACTTAGAAAAATTTTCATAATTTGCGGTATTCATCCACCTGAATTGCAAGATTTTTTAAAATATTCAAAATTTACTTTGCTGAATTGAAATAGAATGTAGTGAGCATGAGTGATTTATAATACACTTAGAAAAATTTTCATAATTTGTGGTATTCAGCTAGTGGATTCCAAAATTCAAAATTTACTTTGCTAAATTGAAATAGAATGTAGTGAGCATGAGTGTTATACAATACGCTTAGAAAATTTTTCATTATATGTAGTATTCAGCTAGCGGAATTCCAAAATATTTAACAAAATTCAAAATTTACTTTGCTGAATTGAAATATAATGTAGTGAGCATGAGTGTTTTATAATACACTTAGAAAAATGTTCATAATTTGTGGTATTCAGCTAGTTGAATTTCAAAATATTTAACTAAATTCAAAATTTACTTTTCTGAATTGAAATAGAATGTAGTAAGCACGTGTGTTTAGTAATACACTCAAAAAAATTCCATAATTTATAGTATTCAGCTAGATGAATTCCAAAATTTTTAAAAATATTCAAAATTTACTTTGCTGAATTGAAATAGAATGCAATGAGCTTGGGTGTTTCATAATACACTTAGAAAAATTTTCATAATTTGTGGTATTCAACTAGATGAATTCCAAAATTTTTTAATATATTCAAAATTTAGTATGCTGAATTGAAATAGAATGTAGTGAGCATGAGTGTTTTATAATACACTTAGAAAAACTTTCATAATTTGTTGAATTGAAATATAATGTATTGGGCAATGAGTGTTTCGTAATACACTTAGAAAATTTTCATAATTTATAGTATTCAGCTAGATGAATTCCAAAATTTTTAAAAATATTCAAAATTTACTTTGCTGAATTGAAATGGAATGTAGTGGGCATGAGTGTTTTAATACACTTAAAAAATTTTCATAATTTATAGTATTCAGCTAGATGAATTCCACAATTTTTAAAAATATTCAAAATTTACTTTGCTGAATTGAAATAGAATGTAGTGTGCATGAGTGTTTTATAATACACTTAGAAAATTTTTCATAATTTGTGGTATTCAGCTAGCGGAATTTCAAAATATTTAACTAAATTCAAAATTTAATTTGCTGAATTGAAATAGAATGTATTGAGCATAAGTCTTTTATAATACACTTAGAAAAATTTTCATAATTTGTGGTATTCAGCTAGCGGAATTTCATAATATTTAAAAAATTTCAAAATTTGATTTGCTGAATTGAAATAGAATGTAGTGAGCATGAGTGTTTTATAATACACTTAGAAAAATTTTCATAATTTGTGGTATTCAGCTAGTTGAATTTCAAAATATTTAACTAAATTCAAAATTTAATTTGCTGAATTGAAATAGAATGTAGTGAGCATGAGTGTTTTATAATACACTTAGAAAAATGTTTGTGGTATTCAGCTAGCGGAATTTCATAATATTATAAAAATTTCAAAATTTGATTTGCTGAATTGAAATAGAATGTAGTGAGCATGAGTGTTTTATAATACACTTAGAAAAATTTTCATAATTTGTGGTATTCAGCTAGTTGAATTTCAAAATATTTAACTAAATTCAAAATTTAATTTGCTGAATTGAAATATAATGTAGTGAGCATGAGTGTTTTATAATACACTTAGAAAAATGTTCATAATTTGTGGTATTCAGCTAGTTGAATTTCAAAATATTTAACTAAATTCAAAATTTACTTTGCTGAATTGAAATAGAATGTAGTGAGCATGAGTGTTTAATAATACACTTAGAAAATTTTTCATAATTTGTGGTATTCAGCTAGCGGATTTCCAAAAAATTTCAACATATCAAAAATTTACTTTGCTGAATTGAAATAGAATGTAGTAAGCACGAGTGTTTAATAATACACTTAAAAAAATTTCATAATTTATAGTATTCAGCTAGATGAATTCCAAAATTTTTAAAAATATTCAAAACTTACTTTGCTGAATTGAAATAGAATGCAATGAGCTTGGGTGTTTCATAATACACTTAGAAAAATTTTCATAATTTGTGGTATTCAACTAGATGAATTCCAAAATTTTTTAACATATTCAAAATTTAGTATGCTGAATTGAAATAGAATGTAGTGAGCATGAGTGTTTTATAATACACTTAGAAAAACTTTCATAATTTGTTGAATTGAAATATAATGTATTGGGCAATGAGTGTTTTATAATACACTTAAAAAATTTTCATAATTTATAGTATTCAGCTAGATGAATTCCAAAATTTTTAAAAATATTCAAAATTTACTTTGCTGAATTGAAATGGAATGTAGTGGGCATGAGTGTTTTATAATACACTTAGAAAATTTTTCAAAATTTGTGGTATTCAGCTACCTGAATTCCAAAATATTTAACACAATTCCAAATTTACTTTGCTGAATTGAAATATAATGTAGTAAGCTTGAGTGTTTTAGAATACACAATATTTAAAAAATTTCAAAATTTGATTTGCTGAATTGTAATAGAATGTAGTGAGCATGAGTGTTTTATAATACACTTAGAAAAATTTTTATAATTTGTGGTATTCAGCTAGCTGAGTTCCAAAATATTTAACAACATTCAAAATTTACTTTGCTGAATTGAAATAGAATGTAGTGAGCATGAGTGTTTTATAATACACTTAGAAAATTTTTCATAATTTGTGGTATTCAGCTTCCTGAATATCAAAATATTTAACAAAATTCAAAATTTACTTTGCTGAATTGAAATAGAATGTAGTGAGCATGAGTGTTTTATAATATACTTAGAAAAATTTTCATAATTTGTGGTATTCAGCTAGCGGAATTCCAAAATATTTAACAAAATTCAACATTTACTTTGCTGAATAGAAATAGAATGTAGTGAGCATGAGTGTTTTATAATACACTTAGAAAATTTTTCATAATTTGTGGTTTTCAGCTGCCTGGATTCCAAAATATTTAACAAAATTTAAAATTTACTTTGCTGAATTGAAATAGAATGTAGTGAGCATGAGTGTTTTACAATACACTTAGAAAAATGTTCATAATTTGTGGTATTCAGCTAGTTGAATTTCAAAATATTTAACTAAATTCAAAATTTACTTTGCTGAATAGAAATAGAATGTAGTGAGCATGAGTGTTTTATAATACACTTAGAAAAATTTTCATAATTTGTGGTATTCAGCTAGCGGAATTTCATAATATTTAAAAAATTTCAAAAT